AGTGGATTAAATTTAAAGCTCTCTCACCGTTATAGCTTGAAAGACTTGGAGTGGTCTTGGGAGCAAAAGAAAAGAACCTTAGCTAACTTCCTTGGTCATTCGTTATTGTGGCCAAAGGAGTCCTGTTGTCTTTGGTTACCTCCCTTCCCCCACAGCCTTGTAGAAATCCTCATAGCACTGGAATTTTCCTCTCAGTGCTCAATAAATGCTTAGAAAGATAAGCCTCCCACTGGTCAACCCTGAGGCAGACAGACCTGAAAAGACCCCTTGTGAGACACCAGATGTTTAGGATTAGAACCTGTAAGGGAAAGGACCTGTTGCGTTTATCAGGAGGTGTGTCCACCAAAGGGGAGACAAGCTTTTCAGTTCAGAGGGGAAAAAAAAAACAAAAAACTTTTTTTGTTTGAAGTTATCTGAAGGCCATGCTCAGTTGAAAGATCAGAGTTGCCAATCTGACCATATTGGGAATTAGCATTGCTAATGAGGTTTTCAGAGATTCAAAGCTTATTTAAATCTACTTAACCTTCTGTATAAATACCCAACTTAGAAAACACTGTACTTCTATTTTTAATAGTCTAATAATGGATAAAATGTTATTTTAAAGGCAGTAACAGCAATGCTAATATTTTTCAAATTAGAATCTTCAAATAATGACATGTCACTTTGTTGTTTATTTATTTTTTTAAATTCCTATGGCATGCTAGAGAAAAATAGCCAATTGCACTATGTGATAAATTGGAAAATAAGGACAGTCAAAACAGTTAGCTAACAAGACTGTTTGCTCTTTAATGACAAATGTACAGTTAAGTATTCAAATATTAGCTGTTCGATATAGGCCAGGGTAAGGTGAACTCTAGGAATACAAGCTGCTAACAAATCTCATCAAAAGGACCTCTCCACTATCTTTGCCATGGCCTCCATTTAAATCAATATCATGCTAAAATCTGCAATCTTACAGCAATGTTCTCTGAATGGGGAGTTGGATACACCCTGTACCTCCTAATATGAAGGAATCAACCACTCTTGTTTCCCTACCAAGTATTTCAAGGCTGAGCTCCTTTGATAAACTTAGGTTTCTTTGCCTCTTTTTCAAACCTAACTGATTCTCATATTCATTCATTCATTCATTCATTCATTCATTCATTCATTCATTCAAGAGATGCAATTATGTATGAACTATATGTCAAGTAATCTAGTCACTTAGGTATGACATTGTGCAAAAGAAACAAGCTTCCTGTTTTCAAGATCAACCCTCCAGTGAGAGGAGATAATCAAAAACCAGATGAACAGATGACAGGGCAATAATGGTACCACAACATACACAAAGAACGCACACAAAATACAGAATAATAGTGAAGGAAGGGCCTGAGGAGAGAGGTCTTGTAGGTGAACTGATTAGGGAAGTGGGACCTTTCCCTGTAGAATTTGGAACTGAATGAGTAAGAATGAGACAATAAACAATGATTCCAGGAAAAAATATTCCAGGCAAAAGGAATAACATACTAAAACTTAGAAGGTCAGTGTGACTGAAGAGGAGGGAGGGAGAGGGTTGGAATTAGATAAAAAATAAAATGTAAATGGGAGCCAAATCACATGAGAGTTTGAAGGTAGTTTAAGAATTTACAATCCACTTTAACCTACTGGACAGCTGTTGAAATATTTTTCTCAGATGAATGATGATCTAATTGATAATTTAAGCAGCTCCATGTGGATTAAATAAAGAGAATGTTTATAGGGATGAGACTAAAGGGGTCTGTTGCAGTGATCCTTGTCAGAGATGATGGCATAGGGTGGGAATAGGAGAGATGTAGAAAATGTTAGCTTATCTGGAACAAAACATCAGGCAGAAAAAGCTAATAAACAGCAGGTTTGAATTGAACTGTTAAGTCTTACATAATGGAAGCCAACACAGAAAATGCTTTAGGAGATCATTCAGTGGAAACCCTTCCATTTAACATGAAGAAAACCAAACCATGGACTAATTAAGGGACATCCCCAGGTCACTGACTAGCCATGCTAAGACAAGGCCTCACACCTGCTACCTTCCAGGATAGGAAATATATGGCCGAGTCCCTGCAAAGTGCAGTGGAATCTAGGCATAGGCCTTGTTAGTTTGTCAGTGTGTTACAGGGCAATCCCAATATTGAAATGGGTGGCCTGACTGGGTCCTCACCTGTGCACTTAAAAGGGACTTATAATAAGACCCAGCTGCAGGCACACACAAAAGGTTAATAAAGGGCTTATTTACAAAAGAGGGGGAAATGAACAAATGAATAACTCAGGGAGAAAGAGAGGGAGATAAACTGGTGAATGCATCCTATCAGTTCCACTGAGCTGGAACCCAGGTAGCATACTGAAAGCCAAGAGACCCCCAAGGCCCACGTGTCTGGGTATGTACCACGCCCAGACTTAACTCCACCCTCAATTCCCAGTGACCCTCCCTTCAGTGATGATGACCTTATGGGATGTGTAGTTCTTGAGATCTTGGATCTCTTTGGCCTGGTGTGGGTGTGGAGTCCATAAAGCCTGTGTTTGTGGAGTTCATTCAGAGCATCCTTCCCCCCTCAACACGTGTACAACTTCCATCTGCACCAGGAGTTCCCAGTCTGTATTGTGTGAATCCACACAGCGGGAAGAGAGTGGAGTTATTGCAGGGTCTGTGCATCTGCATGTGTCTTATTTGTATCCTGTAGGCAGGATAAATAAAACTATGAGTATCATCACATGGGGTCCAAAGCAGAGCTTGGAGTCTGACACCCAGCTAAGCTCAATCATGCCTTTACCAACCATTGAATGTGTGCCTTCTAACAAGGTATTTTAACTCTTTGGGTCCTGGTTCCTCTTCAGTAATTGGCACGAAAATAGTAATTCTTTGGTTTTGTGTAATGCCCACATAAGGTAATATGCTTATAGAGGAGGGAAAAAACATCTCTCTTAGAATAGTACCTGGCACAGAGCAAAATTCAGCACTGTGTGCTATTATTATGTGGAAGACAAAACTTTTTTTACTTGAAATGTGCTGTTAACATTCAAAGCCATGAGAATGACTCACCCTCCACCCTGTAGAAACTATTAAGTGTGGTTCTCCCCTGTGGGTGCCTGACTGGAACAGACTTTCTTACACAGCTCTTATCAGCCTCCAGGCAGGAACTATGTGGCCTTCTGCATAGGGACACGATTTCTTCAGTTCATCATTCACTCATTCTCATTTATTCAGCAAATGCTGACTTAAATGTCTAGTGGCTCTCACTCTTTCTTTCTTTCTTGTTTCAACTAAATTTACCCCTCAGTAACTTCCTCTTTTGAAATAAAATGCTTTTTCAACTGGCAGGTGAGGGTATCAGGAAAGGAGTAGGGTTTTTGTTAAAATTTCAAAGGAACCACAGGGTATTTATAGTTGGACACTCTTAAGTACCTTAAAGGCTTATGGGTAGGGAGAAAATACATGAAAAAAGGAGAAAGAGGACCCTCCCTGGTGGCTCAGTGACTTAAAGTGTAGCACTGCAAGCCAGCCTCAGTCGCTTCAGTGTGAGTTCAATCCCCTCCCTGGAGGTGATCCACATGGTGCCCACTGCTCCCCTCAGCATTGTACTTCATCAGTCTGCCTGTTATGCTCCCCACTCTTGTCTTTGGTGAATCCTCTTACCGCCCCTGTGCCTCTGGCCTGTACCCCAGTTCTGTGTGAATAAATACATAAATCTTTAAAAAAAAAAAAAGGAGAAAGTTTGCTGCTTGAGGACTCCAGCCCAGTTGCATATAGGACTTCTGGTTTGAACGGCTGCCTTGGGTATCTTTCCTTTGTTCCCCACACCTTCCAGAAACAGCTCTATCAGGCGTCAGCATGTCCATTTTACACAGGACAAAATAAGACTGTACAGGTCTTCCCAAGTCACAGGTTTATAAGTGAAGGGTTGGCACTAGAACCCAGGGTGCCTAACTCCTCATCCTGTTTTGTTTGCTCATTTGGTCCCCCAACTTTCCTTCAACAATCATTACTGTTCTGTGGAGAAAAATGAAAGGGAGTAAGAAGATGATATGACAATTGTGATGTGTGATGATGTGTGAATGAGAAACAAAAATACAGAGAAAGGGACCCAAAGAAAAGCTCAGGACAGATTCTGAATGAATAAACTACCATAAAAAATATGGCTGGTCAAGAGAAGTTTCTCTCCGGCCACTACCAACTGCCTAAAGATGAAGCAGAGCTACACTGGTCCAACCTAACATTATTCCTGTGCTGAGAAATTGCTGTCAAGAAGCCAGAGTGAGGAGAGCATGGAACCTGTGGCAACCAATGCGGAGAGGAGGTTCTCAGAGGGGTAACTCAGTGCCAAATCCTCCAAAACACACTGCCATGGGATGCCAGGATTTCAGCCCTAAGACTGGCCAGGTTTCTACTCCTTCCTACAGAGGTTCGTTTAGAAAAACCTGACCTGTTTCACGTTTTAACATCTATAATCGTTTCAATTTGAACATTTTTCAAGAGAAGCCTTAAGTAACACTCCTGGGAGGGGCAAGCAACCAAGTTGTCATTTGTCCCTTTCCACAGCTGCCAGGGCCCCAAAAGCCTGTCTGCCAGCACCATCACCTTAATGGTTATTTATGGGTGGGGTGCTGGATGAATTTCCCAGATGGGGATCATGCATAACATCCAGGCATTTCCGTAAAAATGAGGGCAATTACTTTTTTGTAACAAACATATAAACATTTACCTAATCTATGCAAATCTATTCCTAAGCATTTTATAAAAACCACCACTTCCAGCCTGGATCGCCAACACACAAAATCCTGGTTCCTTTTGATTTCCCGGTTTGCTTTTAAGCACTGTGCTGGAGGGAGGAGGGGGCTCCCGGAGTCAAAGGGGAGATGGTTCTCTCCTCAAGATGCAGGCTGCTTGCGTAAAGCAGTCATGCACTTGCACTTGTGAGCAAAGAGCCAAGTGTGGGGGCTCACCATGATGGCAAGCACCTCCCCACAAAGCAGCAGCCTTTCACCAGAGGGAAGTATCAGGTTGCCGTACTTCGACTGTGGGTTGTCACTGTCTAATAATATGACCGTTTTGCCATCTCTCTGCAAATAAGGCAGAAGCTGCTACCTGATTGGTATAACATCTCACTTTCCCTCCTCATTGATTTTCTTGTTCTCCTCCTTTGCTTCATAAAAAGAGGGACAAGTGGCTGGTTCTGTGGACAGAGGAGCTTTATTTTTAGTATGAGACAACCTCTATTTTCTTTCAGGAGAGGGAAGTTGGATTATAAATTCTTTTGTAAATGTGTATGGTGATATTTGCTCCGGTAAGTTTATATCTATCTTGATTTATAGCTGGCTCTGTGTGTGTTTGTGTGTGTGTATGTGTGTATTTGCATAGGTACATTTGGGCTGTACAGTCACTTTTCTTTCCAAATTCTTTCTAAAGATCATTATTGAAACCTTTACTGATAACATTTTTTTTTTACTTTGTGTTCTTATATCCTTATGTTTAACCCTGTGTTGTGAAATAATGTGACACTTACCTTAGCTGTTAAAGGATGTAACAGATTTCTTTCGACATAGTAAGGCAACTACTAAAGGAAACTTATATTTCACTTTATAAAAATGGAATGTCATTCTACCTCACCCCCCTTTGGGGTGTTTAATCACCTAAGTATATTCATCATGTTACTACCTGCTTACCATTTTAATTAAACTTTCTTCATCAGAGTCAGAGTAAGAATTTCTTAAACTCCATAAATAGCTACCGAATATTGCATTCTGTACTGAGAGGGGTGTGCTAATTCTCTAAGTCTTATACCAAGGCAGAATGAATGGGATGAATTTCCTCTCAGATCAGGTGCAGGCACCTTTAAAAGAATTGAATCTATGAAAAGTAGTCATATCATTAAAGTAAATCTTTAACATTCCATGAAAAGATGTAATCTCAAGTGGCTGTTGCATCTATTCTTTCTTTGCACTGTGTATTTGTGCCACCATCTGTCAAATGCCCAGCCCTGGTTCTGAGTTTCCATATCTGAAGCTGATCAAGAAAAAAGTTGCTGTTATAAAATGCAAACTAATGCAAAATTACTATCTGGCCACCACTGCTAGTAATGATTTTTAAGTGCATCACCTGGTTGACTGCTTTTATTTTTCAGGGAGTATCGGAGGGTCTGAATTCTTTGTTGTTATTTCAGAAGTCTGGGAGAATGCCTATTAATATAATTATCCTAGATAGAGATCATAAGATGATTAAATAATTGCTTTAATGGAAACACACTGATGCTTTAATCTTTTGTTATACAATCAACACATCTACATAGTCTGCCTGAACCTGCATGGTGAAGAACTAAATTTATATTAATATTTACCATAAAAGTTAAAGGCATGTTGGCTAATAAGCAGGATGATATCTTTCTATATGTTTTTTTTTCAGAGATTTGAAAATAAAGTTGGAATATCATCTGTAATTAGACCTTGTAGGCATAGAATCTTTTTTCAGAATAGCAATATTTCAGAAACTTACATAGCCAAATGGTAGCTTATAGAAATAGTAATGAGTGTCTGGAAATGCACTGATCTTCAAATCTACTCCCTTTTCCATTCTACCGTGCACACACCCTTTGCTTGCTGGAATGAAACTGCCTATTCTAAAAAACAGGATTTTGAGTGATCTATTTTAACCTCCAAATAGGCAAATTCTCCAAACTGACATGAATGTATCTTTTTTTTTCCTTATGACTGGTCTTCAGAAGTGTGTACCTCATAACAACCTTAAATACCAATAACTCTCCCTAGAACCAAGTGTTCCCTAGAAGATATTTGTTGAAAAACAAATGAAACTTTTATCTTAGGCTGTTGGTAATTACTGCTGAGTGAACTCAACAGTACTGAGTATCCTACTTCTCCTGTCCCCAAGCCTCCAACATCTCATTGCTATTATTCTCCTTTCAAAGCTTTTATAACAGACTGTACAAAATCGTTAGCTGGAAACAGTTTGTCATCATCTGAAGCTACTGGGTAATAAAAATTAAAGAAGAAGTGAGGGTTAAGTACCCTGCAGTTGAAAGAACCCATCTTTTCCTGAATACTGGTTTCCAGCTAACAACTAATAACGCTCCAACCATACTCAGACCTACTGACACAGAAGGACAGGGACCTCTGTATCTTGAAGAGGTCAACACCCATACTTCAACTTAGGGGAAGTATGCACAGTACTGAGAAGCATCACTTTGGGAACGTTTAGAATGCCATGGCCACAAGACTGTTATAATCTATTCTGAGACAAAAAACTCTATGCCATATAGGAGAAAACAGATTTTTTTCAGGGTGAGATTATTTATTCCTTAGCACAATAAAGAATGTAATTGTTTAATAAATGCCTATTTATTTACTTGGCAAAGATTCTGAGCATTTTGCATGTCTTACTGCCTTGTACCTTCACAACGTCCCATGAGAGAGATAACATTACATCCTATTTTACAGATCAGGCAAGTGTCTAACTTGCTTGAAGCAACACAATGATGATGATGAAACTCAACCAGGCAGGCTCATCTCGCCGGTGTGTCACAGTTTCACTTCATGCCTATAACCTGCAGCCAACTTGTAGACTGGACTGATTTGCAGGGGCTTACAATAACACACCATGTTTTCATTAGTTTTTCCCTCCTTACTAGATCACCTTTTCTTCTAAGACTGTACTTTTGTGACTCTGAGATAATTGTGTGTTTGAAATTGGAAAATATGTGTTTTATTTCCCACTCAACGTGTGCAGCTACAAAGATGTGGATATGACAGAAAGGAGCCAGACTAGGGAAAGAGATAGACAGAAATAGCGAAGTTAAAGTTGCCTTTTTAATTGATCAAAAGAAGTCTAGCTCGTTGACTCAATCTTTTGCAAAGAGGCAGCATAAAGATACCATAATAACTTCAAAATAGCAGTGTGTCAAGATAACTGGTTTATCAATGATGCAAAGTATAAATAGCAATTCCCGCGGAATTTATTGGTTGGTGAAAAACTTTGTAGAAGTCTCATTTTCCTTTGATTCACCATCACCATGATTTTCTTTCACTCTTCACCTAGCTGGGAAGGGCTAAGATGGTACTTCACGTAGCTATCACCATGTCTATACCACTTGGGTAATGGCACATTTGTCGACAGGCATGCTGAGAAGCATGACAAAGTGAAAATTCAGAGTCACCAAATGCATTCTGAGTACTGAGATCCCCATTTGAAATCTACTTAAATCAGTAAGCTCAGATGAGTCTTATAAAGGGAAAATGCATGAGATAGAACCAATATATTTGAAATATCTCCTCAACTAGCCCTTTTTGGACTAGACGCAAGGAATACCAATCATGATGTGAATCTGTGAAATGTATTTTCTTTTTCTGGTAAGAGAAAGAGGATTAATGCTGAAGATATTGTAGCTTGGGGACCCCTTACTGTAATTCTCCAAAAACCAGAGAGATCTAAAACAATTGACAAACAAAACCACACAGGACAAATTGGGAAGGCTGAGAGTCAAAATTTGAAGTATAGGCCTAATAATCACTTCTTGGTGAAATCTGCCCTCTCTAATAAACAAAACTTTGTAGACAAAGTTACAAAGACTTCATAGACACCCCGTTAATTCAAGAGTTCAGACTGCAGTACACAATAAATGTTTCCAAATTGATAGTGATTTTTTGGTCAGAAGTAAGCTTGATAACTTACTGATTCTTTATTGCCTCTTTTACTTTCTCTTAAAATAATAGTAGTTGGGTAGTTCAATCAGAAAGTGTGGCCTTAGAGCCAGTCAGAATAGAGACATCGAAATCCATTTGCTTTTTCCAACAGCATGTATGAGGGTCCTAAATATATTATGAACCATTAATTGAACACTTTTAATGAAGTGTATTATGCTCATCAGATATAGTCCATCCCTCGAGATGAACCTGACAGAAAACTTTATAAAATGTATTGTGCTTTGTCTTCATTGATAAGATGCACATTCCTCAGCAGGGTGACCAAATCACAAATAACTTGCATAGAGTATGTATTTCATCTTACCTAGGTTTCTTTCAGCCTTTTCTTTGGTTATGCATGTTTGTACTTAAACATGTCGATTCGATTGTTGCAAGCTGAAAAATAATCTATTAAGTATGGAGTAAGCAGCTGGTATTAGGAAGTAATGAGCGTTGGGCTGGTTTTGAGTTTTTTTTTTTTTTAATCAAATAGTCTATGTTAGTGTACAAATATAATTAATGTTTGGTCCCATACTTGTATAAGAAAATGGACTCTAAGAGGATTGTTGAGCCGAATGGTGACATGAGGTACTAAATCCTTAACGGAGACTCTTGGTCACCATGTGTCTTTAAATGTTTAAAGATTAGGGGTAGTTGAAAATGGAAACACCCACTCTACGGACTAATGGATCTGCATAATTGATATATTTTACAGTGATCATTTTAAAACACAGAATCTAGCCAAAATTGCTAATGGAAAACTGTTCTGATGAAACATCAGACACATTCTACTATAGCTTCTGGAAAGCTTATTCCCACCACAGGGCAGGAGCTTCGGGTTGTTCCATAGAAGTGGATAATCATGTCATTGTCATCCTTGGGGTCTTAACTGATATGATAGGAATAAAAAGCTTCTATTTGTGCCCCCCCCACCCCACCTTGTGACTTCTTTAGACCCATTTATGGAATCTAAATCCTACTTAATTACTACATTTTGTCTCAGAGTAGATATTCTGGCAAAAGAAAATACACAAATATTTTAGTCTGCTTTTATTTATAATAAAAATATGGTTTTAGCCATATTTTTGCTCAATATAAATTATTACTGCTAGGACTTTTTAAGTCAGACTTTGACATCCACCTTTCAGTGATGAACCCCTCTATCTTTTTTGGTCTTGGAGCTCCATAAGGGAAGAAAATAGATTCAAATATTCAAAACCTGTGGTATTCAAATTGCCATTCTATGGGATTGAATGTTTGAAACTAACAATAAAAACCTTTCTTAAATCCCTTTTTAAATTGGGGGTAGGGTGGGATTTGAAGGAGAGACTGAAGCATTCACTTTACCAAACAAGTATTCAGGCAAATAGGTAAGGATACCTACCATTACCAGATACACTGCCGGATGTCGGAATAAACACATAATATCTGTAGTCCCAGAAATAAATACTTCCATTTTCTACCTTCTCACCTAAACCTAGTTTCTACTTCATGGCCCAGGATGTGTCTTCTTAAAAGTATAATTGAACTTTTTTAGTAAGACATTTGCAGGAAATATGTGCTTCTGGGCTTATCTGTTCATGATCAGTGAAGG